TCAACATAAAGATAATTATGTATGCGAAGATACAATTACTGATATTTCTAATTTTTTATATGTATTATATTATTATAAAAAATATTTTTCCTCGACATTTTGGTAGGATTTTCGTCTCAAAATGATCTCAGAAATCTCTTTTTAAGCATTATTTCGTTCTTTTGGAGAAACCCTGTATAAAAAAATTTTAAGAAAAATTTTCACCAAAGCAAGTATAATACAATCGCATATTATATTAACATATTATGTAAACGAATAATTTTTCTGCATAGGATACTCAGATTAAAAGAAATTGGATTATGGAATGCGTTAACATATCGTTGGTTGAATGAGAAACATCGATATTATGATTATAATCTCGAACAAGAAGCTATTGGGATAGATCAAGTTTCTTTAATAATTTTAATAATGTGCTGCGGAATGATAATAGCTTTTATTATTTTTATAATCGAAAAAATTGTGTATGCTTATAAGTACAGATCACCGTGAAACTACTTTTTGATTATATTATTGCGAATATATTTTATTAAATATTTAATTGCCAGCAATTATTTAACTTGCAATCGAAATTCTATTATATTTATGTCATGAATATTATTATTACTATGTCATTATATATTATTACTATTACATTGCTATAATAATTGCATATGTAACAGAATTATTAAACAAATATAATTATTTATGAATATTATTAAAATTTTAATTTCCTTATTGATTTTATTTATACAAATGTTCCTGAAAGCTCTCAAATGAAAAAAATAGTTATAAAAAATGAAAAATATGCAATTATTTTAATACGATTTTAGAAAGAATATATATATAAATAATTACACTATGTGATCGCGAAAATTTTCTATAGGTCACGTGGGTTTGTTAGTGTCGGGCTCTCGGGAACACAGCTCTCTGAACTGCGTTTCAAAACTCGATTCTGTCAATTAGGAGTATCTTTTATCCTTGTTCAATTTGGTGAATAAGAATAAAATGATACTCAAGTTGACAAAGTCGAGCATGGCGAAACTAGAAACTTGTCTTTTTAATTGAACTTCTTGCACGGTTCGTTTTTCTTTTTCTTCCCTCCAACGTGGAGAGAAAAGGAAAAAAGATGAATCGTAGAAGAATTTTAGCTAAAAAGAACAGACCTTACGTCTTATAAGAATGATGAGGCGTTGGTCTAAAATGAATTTTGAGAGATACAATAGCGCGATTTTTTAAATTCTGAGGCCAAATATAGTTACAAATACACACAAATGCATACGCATTCAATTACACGCATACAGATACAAATTTTTATTGTACAAATTAAATGAATTATATTAATGTTTTTTTTAAATTTATTCAGCAATTGATCAACAAAAATCAAAGATCATCGCAAGAAGAGATTGATATTTGTTAGTCAATTGTCGAATTATTATAATTTAAAAAACATTAATGTTAATTTATTTAATTTGTTCAATAAAAAATTGAACGCGAAAAAAGTTGTGCCTTTCTTTCACGTGCGCGCACGTGTGTGTGTATTCGTTATCATATTTAAAAATCTTAAAATCTTAAAATCGCTTGTAGCTCTCAAAATTTACAAATTTTTAATTCTACATTTTATTCTTATAAAATCTAACTTTGCCAAATTGTTTAAATATAAGGAAATAATATAAGGCCGTGTCCTTAACACAATATCAAATTCATGTATGTAATCTTAATTTTAAAGAATTTTAAAAATGAAAATTTTAAAAATGAAGTCGGACACACACAGTGTAATTTTTTTTATCGACGAAGTAATTAAGAAATCTAATAATGATTTAGATGCCACTGAACTAATAAAAATTATTAGCAAATTAGATGAATTATATTGCAATATTGCGATTATATTGCCTGATTCCATCAAAATGACCATTTATGATATCAATCTTCGACAATCTTCGTGACGCTTTTCCATTATAAGCGATATCGATCCATTATAGAAAATAGTAAGTAAAGCATTTTGCAACGTGTGTATCTCATGAAAACTGCATTCTAATATATTCTTTTTTATCTGTATCCTATGTAAAAATATCGACGTGAAATTAATTCAATTGCACATATAGAAGTTCGTAAATTATGACTACGCGATTTGTTCTAATGGTCGCGATTTTACAGCTTGCGATTTGGGATTGCTACGCTGTGAATGGAATAATCTGGCATAAACAACAACAAGAATTTGTGCAATTGTTTAGCATCCCACAATTTGCCGCTCTTCACAAGGAAAATTTAGCTAAACGTCAAGCGGTTATAGAGAAGTTGGACATGAGCGGAGAAGTGGTGAAAGCTGTATATTACGAGGTGCGCGTGACTTTTTAAAGAGCTCAATGTTTTTTCTCAAAATCTTATAAACTTTTCAAAGAGTTTAAATGGCAAATTTTTGACAATTCATTATGTACATCAATTTATTAAGCTTTTAATAGAGAAGAAGATGGCTATGTGGTCAGTGTAAAGTATAATGGATTCTCTTATATAATATTTCCATTATTATAGATGGCCAATTGTAATGATTATTTATGAAATTATTTGTTTAGAAACTCGTCATACATTATGACATTAATATGCTAATTACATATAGCCAACATTTATTATAACGTATTTTTGCTTTCAAGTACTTTGAAACATTTTTAAGGTACATTTTAGCATTTAATTACACATCTTCCTCCTTAAACTTTATATTGATATTTTGTATTAACACACAAATATATAATATGTATGTTTGAATGTTTATTATTTAACATTTTATTTGGCTATATAAACATTTCGAATTATGCAAAATTAAACAATAGCATGCTATTTTGCTAATGTGACTTTCTAAGTGTACATGCTGATTATTGATGATCTCTTTTCATATCGAGATTTTCATATCAAATAAATATTCCATAAATCGATCGTAACTCTATTAATCTCCCGGTAAAAAATTTTTCATGCATGAATATATATAAATATATATAAACATATATAAACACGCATAAATCTTCATAAATATAATTGTATACGAAATATGTCCATACATGTTCATACATCCTTCTTTCTTTTGTAAAATTATCTTTTAGTGTAATAGAAATAATAATAATAATGTGAAAACAAAAAAGAATTGAAGGGATAATTTTCGTATTGTTTGTTTTAGAAAAAAACAAGTTTGGAAAAATGTAAAAAAAAAATTGCTCATACATAATTATGCATGATTTTATATATAATTATACATAAATAATTTTTTTACATTTCTTCAAACTGATTTTTTCTAAAACAAATAGTGTGAAAATTATCCCTTTAATTATTCTTTATGTTTTCATATTACTATTATTATTTCTATTATATTATACTAAAAAGTAATTTTACAAAAGAAAAAAGGATGTATGAACATGTATGGACATATTTCATATATAATTAAACATGTTTATGAATATTTATGCATGTTATGTATGTTTATACATATTTATGCATAAAAAATTTTTTACTGTTAAATTTATATTGTACAATGTATGTACAATGTATGTACTATAAATTTTTAATACATACTGAGCAATCTTTTAGCTAAT